CACGGACAAATACAAGCAAGGTCTTGCATTTCCTATTCTCATCAGATAATCGTAACTTTTCAGCTAGACTAGTCCCACTACTAAGAAGTCATGCACTGATTTACGTTAAACCGGGTGGTGTGTGGGGTGAAAAGTGGAAGATAATCAAGAGATTGTTTGGTGCGACGGTGAAAAAAATTGACGAACAAATCAAGATGTTGAAAGAAAGTAGGCAACTCATTGAAATGGGAATATGTTTAATATTCAAACCCTGGTTAAGACTCGAATGAATGTGAATAAGTTGCGTATGCTTCTGATTCACAGCTTACGGGCACCTTGGTCCAAGAAATATCTATATAAGTTGGATATAAGCAGATTCATTGAACTATTCAAACTGAAAACTTTCGAATCAAAGAAGCAGCGATCGAATTTGAGGGGGATTCTCACGAGAATTGCATTAAGATTATTTGGTTTCAAGATTCCACAGAGATTAATTGTTAAGGTTCCTTTTGATTCATCTATAATCCTGGGTAAAGTCCGGGCATGGGTTGCAGACATGATCATACGTAATATTCAAGATAAAATACTAGCATCTGATCTTGCGAATCGATGCCGAGTAATGTTCCAGAAATCAAAGACGATTGGTGGAATAATGCACAATCACAGGTTGAAATGGGAAGTTGAACCACCGTGCCCATGTCTCAATCTCAGCTGGCCGAAAATCGATGGACACATCGCCTTTCGTCTAGGGAAGGTATCGACGGATCCTATATTAATGAATGCTAAGAATATCCCGGATATTGGGAAGACCTGGGCACACGAAGGGTTGAAACAATCCATGAAGCTCTCCGTACTGAGAAGTCCAAGCATATACGGACTAGATCCATTATGTGTGACGGACTATACACAAGAGGGCACAAAGGCTAAGCTGGCTGCTGACGGCATGCCTATCTCGAATGTGATGCGCATTAAACACATGTTGAAGGACTTAATTCTGTCACCACTGGACAGGAATCCAAGGGACACATATGTTGAATGCCCAAATGTATGGTGGCATGCTAACAAAGCATTGTTCGTTGATTCTCCACACTATGAACACATTAGCATGCATGTAGATGAGCTCATGTCTATAATTAAGCGGCGATATAAAAAAGCAGGATTGGAGATCATCGCAAAGTGGGATGATAAGGGCACTTTCGGGACTGCGTACTCACGACCAAAGCATAAGGATGTATCAAGACACATACCGATAGTACCCACATATAACGAACCAAGAAGAGAAGCATCAAAAATCTTATCACGTGCGATTAATTTCCTACTCACGAGAGAGCAGGTGGGTTTCCATTTGCATGCAACGAATGAACTGGAACCAAGATTGCAACACTGTAATCAGACTACAGATACTATCTATGGGGAAAAGGCAGCGGTGGTGTGTGCGACCTATGACGCTAAGGATATGTTCTCAAACCTGGATCATAAACCTATGGTCACAGCTATGACCTGGCTGGAGGAGAAAACTCATGCGAAACGAAGGACACATCTTACCATACAAACACGCGGAAAAAACATAAATTTTAGAAATTCCAATGGAATCTGGAGTTGGAAGATAGTAAAAATCGTCAAGTTAATTGAACTACTACAATTTGATATTTCTCATGCTTACTTCTATGCACAGGGTGTATTGCTGAAGCAGGTTAAGGGAGTACCAATGGGCAAAGGGTCGAGCCCACCAATAGCCAACATGGTTTGTGCATTCGATGAATGGAATTGGGTTAAGTCGCTAGGGACAGACGAAAGAGCAATTCAAGGAGTAACATTCGTGGATAATGTCTTCCTCGCCATTATAGTACACAGACAAAGAGTGGAAGATGGTGCCAACATAATGCAGAGATTCAAAGACTGCTACCATTTTTCACTCACATTGGAACAAACATCAAGCATTCAGGACAAGAAATTAAAATTCCTTGAAACGACTATTGAAATACAGGATGAACCCCTCCTGAAGTACTCGCATCATATGAAGAACGAAGAAGCCCTTCAGGAGGGGTCTCTGGGCGTCTTTTGTACGGTTCGGCACTTCAGGAGTGTCGGTTCTCTTAAAATGAAGGTTCTTACGATTATCGGCACAGTTCACAGAATGGTAGCTAATACCTCTCACCCGCAGGACCTTCCACAGGCTTTATATCTACTATACACAGAGCTATACCTGTTGGAATACCCATGGGATTTCATACAAGACGCGGTACAGGCCTACCTCAGAAGGTGTAGAGAGGCAACAATCAGACATTTTGTTGGCCATTCACTGGTACATGAACCGAGACTGAAATACAGAATGAATTCATAAAAAATGTAGTACAACGGACTCCAAATAGACTGCCAGATGACCAACGGAGTATAAATCAGGACGACTATATATCCAGAACTAACTAAACCCGGATCGATCACTGCAGTCGAACAAACGACACGGACCGTGGGACCCGGTAGTTTTCGCCAACTACCACAGAAGCGAGAATGCAGACAGCAGTACGGGATCGACCGAGTCTACCACGATGTTATACATATATGCGGAGGAGGCGCGATGGGCATATTGTAACCTACGTGGGTTTTGTTCTTGGCCCAGTCTACATTCGGCATCAGCAGTACGGGATCGACCGAGTCTACTGACAATGAACCTGGTCACCGCATCATTACACATTCTGTGCGGTAAGTTCCAACGTTTCGTAGGCGGAGATGAGAAGCACAAAATGCTATATATATAGGGGAAATGACTGAGAGAAGCTACCTGAGCAGTAGGCTAGAAGAGTAGTCATGTATGCCATGGACACATAGGTGTATTCTGTGATATGTAATGCCTCGCGCTTATGTGTTCTATTGAGTTTTTGATCTCTCTCTCTCTCTCTCTCTCTCTCTCTCTCTCTCTCTCTCTCTCTCTCTCCTCCCCTCTCTCTCTCTCTCTCTCTCTCTCTCTCTCTCTCTCTCTTTCTCTCTCTCTCTTTCTCTTTCTCTCTCTCTCTCTTGCTCGCTTGCACGAGCGCTCGCGTTAATTTTAAATCCAACCATGAGTTGATCAACCAATAACGAGAAAAGAAGTGACGAAAGAACGAAAACAAAAGAGGAAGCACATACATAAAGAACAAAGAATGAAAACATAACAAAACATTCCCCCTTTATCTCTTCCGTTTTTCGCCATGTTCATGCGTTCCACCTTTCTAGTGCGATGCACTGACACCCATATGCCAAGATCCACCTCTCTCTCTCTCTTTCTCTCTCTCTCTCTCTCTCTCTCTCTCTCTCTCTCTCTCTCTCTCTCTCTCTCTCTCTCTCTCTCTCTCTC